CGTTCGAGTGCATGACCTTCCTCTGGCATGGCCACAAGCCACTATTATGAACCACATGTCAAAGTACGGGACAGTGATTTCCAGTCGACATGAGAAATGGAAGCACTACTTTCCAGGATTCCTGAGCGGTGTTCGAGTTTTGAGAATGCGACTCGAAAGCACCATTCCATCGTACATCACGGTCGACAACGAAACAACGTTGGTAACGTACGACAAGCAACCAAAAACGTGTTGCCATTGTGGCCGAGCAGCACATCCCAAACAGAAATGTTTGGATGTAGCCACATCGAACAATAGCACCGCTCAAGCAGCTCCACCAACCGAGGGTGTATTCAGTATTGCTGATTTCCCGTCGATTGATATCGAACAAAAGCAGCCAACGACATCGGGTCAATCATCTCCTGCTTTCACCGGGTTCTCAGCAGAAGAACAACAGCGAAACACCGAGGATCATCACACTTCAAACGTTGAAAGCAACGACGAAAATTCTAGCACCAGCTCATCAAACGCAACAAAGGATCAAATTGAAAATACCAACAAACGCCGGCTGTCGAAACACAAGGAAAACGAAAAAAAGAAAGTTCGTGCTGATCAGTGCACCCAGAAGATTGGTCAGCAAACAGATCGTTTAGATGATAATAATGCAACTTATCAAATAGGGAATAATACGTTTTATTTGAAAAATAAAAGCGGGAAGGGTTCTAATTGTTAATAATGCTCATCGGCCCAAGCAATGCCTTATAGGCGAGGAAGCCTTATAAATAAACGCAAAAAAAAAAAAAACTTGGGTTGCTGACTCTTCAACTTATATGGAAACAATGAAAATATATAAAATAGTAAACAACAGAATACAAAATGATTTAAAACAAGCTACAAACGAATAATCCAAACAAAACAGAGCTCAGCTGGCATGGGTCCAATAGGGGAAATCCATCCAGCTGAGATATCCCGACGGTCGAAAGTAATTCCTGCTATACCAAGTGGTAGATTTTGGCTTCTTTTAAGAAGATTACTAGTGCTGCCGAGGCCGAAGTATCATTCCCGAGCAGATCGCTGATGCTGAAAGTTAGGCAGAGTGACTCCCGAAGATATTAGATCACCGGGCAGTTGCACAGGATGTGTTCGACGGTGTAGGGTACCCCGCAGATGATGCAGCCTCTGCGGAACGGCAGGCCACCATAGTTATAGTAGAGTTTGGTGTGTCGGTCCGAAGCATCGAAATCACGCGTTGATCCCTCAGGTTCTTCAGTTCGCTCCATGCTTTAGTTGACCCTTTGACTTTGCGGATGAAGGCAGTTCTGTTGCAGAACCACTCGGCCTCCCATGCCGCTCGAATGGTCCGCATGATCCACCGTCTGACGTCCTGTAGGGGTACCTTGTCGGTGAGTCTGGGACCCAAGGTCCTGGCTCCGGCAAGGTGATCAGCAGACTCGTTACCTGGCACTCCGTAGTGTCCGGGATTCAATGTGTAAACGGTGTTCGGTGGGGCGTACTTGATAATCGCCTGGATCCATGGGTGTTTTGGTGCTTCCGAGGTGATCGCATGAACGACGAGTGTGAGCCCGTTAAGATAAGTATCGGTTTGTTGGCTGGCGTCGTAGCGGCACAGAATATCGCTGCAGCCACGGACAAAAAAAAACCGAGCATTGTGGAGGAAGACTGCTGCTTTCTGCAATACCGTCTCCGAAAATCCCGATACCTACTCCGTTTATCGATCGGGAGCCATCGGTGTACCGGTGTACGTGGTCGGCATAGTTGGACCCAAGTAACTCGGCGGCCGATCTGCGCAGAATCACGGATGCATCCCCTGCTTTGAAGCGGTTCTTGATCCGATTGTCCAATTGGATTCGTGAAGAGTGCCATCTTTTCTCTCCATGCCAATGGACTTTGACCACTGGGGGGAGGTCGATGTCGGCGGCCAGGCGGAGGACTCTGTTCCCCTCGTCGACGAGAAAGATCCGTTCGGCCGATCAGTACGCCGAGAACGCGAACTATTTACCTGGTTGGAATGGCTTCGTCGTGGATCGTAATTGGGGTGCTATTGACTCGGTGATGAGACGGACATACGTGGCATCGGATACTCTTCCTGGCGGATAGCTGGAAACCCATCGAGTCGGTCCATTTGACAACGGCAGAGACTGCCGCTTGCGCTTGCCGTAGGGTTCGGATCTGTGTGGGACCGGTGGCCACAATCAGCACATCGTCGGCGAAAACAAATATGTTAATGCGCCCAGGTAGCCGGTCAAATACCCCGTTCATTGCCACCAGAAACAACGTGACTGCGATAACGGAGCCTTGAGGGACTCCGGTCTCCTCGCTGAAACATTTCAACCGCGTGTTTCCCACCAATACACGGAAAGACCGGTCGCTCAAGAAGTTTCGTATGAAATACATCATATGCCCTATTCAAGCCCCAGTTTGTAAGTTTTTCCAGGACGGCTGGCGTCCACGTCCGGTTGAAGGCCTTGGAGATGTCCAATGAGATGATTTCAACGTGGTGTTCCTGGTCGTAGGCTTCCTTGAGGACGTCCCCCAAAGTGGCAAAGTAGGTGGACGTACCGAAACCTTGTCGAAAGGCATGTTGTCGGTGGTCGAGCAAGCTGTTGGTCTCAAGGAACATCTTGAGTCGATGGTTCACCATCCGTTCGAATACCTTGGCCTTCGCGATGTGAGAACGATCGGCCGGAACTTAGATGTGCCCCTGTCTTTTTCGTTTGCCTTCAGGATGGGCACGACGAGACTCTCCTTCCACAGCGTCAGGTAGGTATCCGAGACCCGGAGTTGGTTGAGCATCTCGAGCATGCAACACTTGCCCTCAAGAGGCAGCTTTTTTAAAAGTGGATACCCGAGGAAATCGTCAGAGGACTGAAAGGCGTTGATACTTTCAAGGAAACCAGACCAACTGTTTAGCTTCGCACTTCTCACTTCTTTTCTGCATTGAATATGCAGTGCACGGTACCGGGTTAGTAGCTGTTCCCTGTTTGGGTCATCTCTCGGAGTTCGCCTGAGTTTCCGTAGAGCTTTCCGGCGGGCTTTTACGGCTTTTTTGGTGTCTTCGCTCCAGCAACGAAGCCCTTTTCGTCCAGGTAGGCTACTGGTCTTTGGTCTGGTACCGGATGCAGCATCTAACACCAACTTAGAAAAATCCGGGATGGTTAACGGATTGCGTTCGAGGAACAGGAACAGAATTGTCCCCTGATACTCATCCCAGTCAGCCTCGTTGTACCGCCAGCGACGTCTTTTACTGACTTCTGGGGCCGTGACTGATGAAAGCTGCATTTGGATGGGGTAGTGAGCACTTCCGTACAAATCCGCATTGGTGCACCACGTGACTTTTCCTGCTATGGAACGGCTGATCGAAGAGACGTCGGTAGCCGTGGCGTGACGCCCGTTGAAGAATGTTGGGTTTCCATGGTTGAGCACCGCCATGTCTTCCTGATCGAGTAGGTCCATTAGGATGCTTCTTCTAGGATCCGGACGAGGACAGCCCCAAGTTGGATGATGCCCACTGAGGTCTCCGACAAACATCCTTGGTTCGGGTATAGCTTGCTGAAAACGCCGGTGATTTTATTTGACAGATTTTGTAGCAACGTTCTTCCACATGCAAGGTATGCACAGGCAATCGCAATGTTTGCCGGCTTCTCCAATTGAATAGCAACTATGAGAAGATCAGTTCCCACATCAATCTCGTTAAAAGGTATGCTCCTTAGAACACCGATGGCTACGGAGTGGCGAAAATTGCTTCCTCTTTTGAGGGTGCAGGCGTATTTTCCGGTAAGCGAACGATCCATCTGGTCACCTTGTTAACTTCTTGGAGAGCTATCACCCAGGGTGGATTGCTGTGGCAAAGCATCTCCAAGTTAATGGAGGATAAAGTTGATGGGTACTGGTAGAACAGGAACGGGGTGTCCGCTGATGGTAACGTCCTCGGAGGGACAGCTCAAGTCTTCAAACTCGCTGATATCAAACAAGTGGGAGGCTTGCGTCTGACTAGAGTTGCTGCTTGACAGTTCGCTGTGTCCAGAATAAGAAAGATATAATAGCAGCGCATGCATACGATAACAAAATACCAAATTTTTGGAAGCACCTGCCGGAAAGTGAGATACTAGGTAAAATTATTCGAAATAATAGCAGTTTTTGACTAGATAATGTACACACAAATGTAAAATTTAAAATCCCAAAATTGAACTTGTATGAAAATCGGCCTGCGCTGCTATTATATCGAACAGAACTGTAAATGTTAACGTTACTGAACTTGATTGATAGAGTCAACACATTTTCAAAACGCCTTTTTTAAGTTTTGACGGCTCTCATAAAATCATGTATCTTCAATGAAATTTCAGTTTTATACAATAACGCTGCAAATGCTACGCGAAAAATTATTAATATGAGCTTGCTGCTTATTTTATTTGTCGCGTGGATTCTGGCAGATTTGCCAAACGGCTTAACATAAGTCCAATAAGTCTTAGATTCTCAAATGGTGTGAAATTCCTATATTCGGTTGAAAATTGCCATATAAACTATGATCTTATCTTTTTATAAAATATCAACTGAGCAATTCTAATAATGTTCCTGGACGAATGTCACTCTTGGTATTCAATTATTATCAAATCAGTGCAAACCTATCTTGGCTTTGGTTCAAAGTTCGTACTGTTTACCCTTTTGGAGGCTAGGGTTGAGAAGGCACTGCGACCCCAACAACACGTCAGAAAACAACCAAATAAACTCAACAAAATTGACAAGCTTGGACAAGTTAAAAGGTGTGGGATATTTCAGTTTCGTTATCGCAAACTCATTTCGGTACTGGGCACAATCAGGTAAATTTCAATTCCTGATTATTATTCTTTCTTTGGGCCTTTGTAATCTCAGACAGTAGTGAAGTTGGTGGGCAATAATGAAACAGATATGAAGAACAAGGTTGGTGTGAAGGTAAAACTTGCTTCAACAGAACTTGATGGAAGCTGGGAAAATGTGAGAAAGCAGCTGTGCCGTGTACTTACCGGAATGCATTGGGTCCTCTTCGCTAGCGGATGTTCCCGTCAGCCTACGTAGCAATTTATTATCCCTTGGAAAGACGCATCGGATGAAGAAGGCGGTAGATGAAAAGGGAATGGCATTAGTGGTTGTAGAAAGTGACCGTCTGAGGGCGAAAAATGCTTCGGATGTGTGATTTTCTTGGTTTTTTTTTTTCATTAACGGAACAATCGTAAATGTGAAACTTTTGCGAGAACGATAAATAACCATGCGCCTCCATGAAATTCCATAAGCACGTGATGCCGAATCGGTTTCGCATCCGAAGCGTTTTCCACTTGGGTTCTCTTATGTGTAAACAATTTCCTTATGCAAACAGTACTATCTTAAAAATAAAGAAAAAGCTCTGCTCTAAATGATCACTCCTGGTGTTGAATCACGGGGAACAAGCCAGTGAACGCAACAATCGGTTCTTGCTAATCGAATATTCTAGGATGATTGTATAATGCAAGTCTTTGTTTTTTTTTTTGGTTTCAAATGATTTTGGCACTCTTGGGGACAGTTTGGAACACACTTTCCTGATTCGGGTACTGGATGCTCCTTCTGCGCATATCAAATACAATTGTTTTGTTTCGTTCATATCTAGGATACAAAATTCATTCCTGTCTCTTGGCAGTCACCGAAATGAAAAGAAAAAAGTGGAACGCACTATGCTTGGCATAAAATATAATATAATATGGTATCATAAATCGGAAGTAAAGCTACATAGTAATTCGAAGAGCGAGTAAATGTAGGTATTCGATGATATATTTATATTCTGTTATGTGTGGGTGTAGATGCGTACGAAATCTAGAGAGCTAACATTTTCAACTACGTTCAAAACTGATGTCGAGCTTGAATATTTTCACAGCAAACAAATTGTGGGTGTGGGTGAGTGAGTGAGTGAGTGAGTGTGTGAGTGTGGGAGTTTTGTGATCCGGGAGGTGGGGCTCTAGGTGAAATAGATGAGTCGGTTCTAAACTGTGGGATACATTTCAAATCGAATGAAGCGGGATGAAAGTTTTCGGGAAGTCATGCAAATTGGCCGGGTTCATAGATGAAAAGCATAATGGTCTAGTTTATGGGTTTTATATTTTCCTTAACCCCGCCGGTTTCTACCCCCCCCCCCCCAACTAACGTTCGGGTTAGTTTTGTAATTTTCACTCCAATATATACCTACCAATTGGAAGTAAATTTACAAATGTTGTGTAGGCAAAGCCTTCAGAGTTCAGAGATATGTATCGTGTGTTGAGGGGAATGGGGGTTGACCTTTGGTACTGGTCGGCTATTACAGTCTAAACCATTCAAAAAGATAGTTTTAAATTATACGTGTTGTATCGAATTAATTAAATTTGACTATTCATGGCTTTGACATATCATTCATTAGTGGATCTTTTTGCTAGGAATCGAAGTTATTTGGTGTTACCTTGTCAATGACAATTTTTTCTTTGATCTTGTAAATCATTATCGCCTAATAATCAGTTAGGTTGTAGATCGATTATAATCGAGAAAATTCAACTCAAAATAGTTGCATGTCTTCGGATATGTTGTTTACTGGACTAAACTGGTGGAGCTCTGTTTGTTTTTCCGATTTTAATTTAGATAATCACGTGAATCATATCCAACAGAAGGTTGCTGTCCTTAGCAGTGTTGTCCGGTTCACATAGGCCAACAGTAAAATGGGTTTCATTAGTTTGAACTTCTCTCACAAGATAGTGATTTTCAGCCGTAGGTTGGTTCATCACTACTTCTTCTAAATGATATAATACAAGATCCAGGATATATGCAAGATTTATGACTTTGGCAATGTTGTTAAGTGGATCAAGATTTCTAGTATGGAGGACAGTACAGTTCAAAAATCTCCTACTAAGCAGCGCTAATGCTCGTGCACTCTCACCAAAGCCTTCATTTAAGATACCATATAAGATATTAACCAATAATTTCACGGGTGCCCTCTTTAGATTTTCGGTTTGCCTCAGGAGCGTACCCCAACTGGAACTGGTCCTGGAATGGGGTGGAATGCGAGCAGCCAGCGGCTGGGATTAGATGTGAAAGACTGCAGAACAGACAGCCATTAAAATCAAAACAACGCAGAACCTGCAAGAGGTTTTGCGGGTGGACAAGTCTCTCACACTTACAGGTACTCAACGGCGACAGAGCCGCAACATTTTGACATTGGAAACAATTAAAATAAATTACACGAGCACTTGACGTAGGAAACTAAATCCGGAAAACTTTGAGATTTGGGCGTAATTGCTTTTGTAAACAAACACGTCATTCACCGATTTCGCGCCAATAAAAGAACAATCTCGCGAACAAACTATGCCAAATGGTAGAGGAACCTTTAATTCGCGAGAAATCGTCAAAGGACGTGTTTGTTTACAAAAGCAATTACGCCCTAATCTCAAAGTTCTCCGGAAATGTAAACTAACTGAGTTCTCCAAATTGTAGAACTGTCATTTTCATTTGATGAAAGGGACCGTGAAAGAGGACACGACTGTTCATCTTTTTGTATTTCAATTCACATCTCAGCATTCTTCTTTGGTAGCACTCGAAACCTACACCGCTCTCTTATATAGCTGGTTGGCTGCAGTCATGCCAAAAAATGGTTGGTACAGTATATTGATGTCTCGGGGTAGGACTGCATGCTCGTGATTAATTGATTCTTTGATTAATTGATTTTCTGATTTACTCGATGTTTGACGTTCACCAATTTTTGGAACATATAAAGTTGAAAATAAATAGCTTTACCTATTGAAATCGATACGTAGAGAAAATTCCGATCGATTGATGCAAAAATATTGAAAATGTATCATGAAATAGGTGAGTTATAATCGATCAAGCCCTGACCACCTTTTGTTACGTGTTCATTTTTCGTAAAATGTACCCCCATATATAAAGCACAGACGTAGTCCTATTTCAACATCATGATCCGGTCCTACTACCTCTGCACGTCGTTTGAAGCATATTCAACGAAGCGTATCCGTAGTTTGCCAGCTGGTTGGACCAAATTTCGATGAACGCAGGGCGCATATGGTCTCCCAAGTGGAAATCAATCAGGTCCGAAAGGAGCACGGCCAATGAGATTACTCAGAGAGAAAGAGAGTCTCTTCTACTTAGTGGTATGGATACATTTCTAAAAATCGCAGGAACTCAGCGCTGAGTACCTGCAATTTTTAGACATTTCTCATACAACTGAGTAGACTCTCTCTCTGAGTTCTTCTCATTGGCCGTGAGGAGAAGAGAATACTACCAACCGGTGGAAACTAATGATTTTAAATTGGCTCACGCTGGACTAGTCTATCGGTCCCAAGTACATCGATGAATGTACCACACAGGCATGGAAAATCATTTGCATTCATTTCATACATTCATTTACATTCATTTGCCTCTACCTTTTTTCATCAACAGCATTCCGCAAAATGATGTATGGAGCTTTTGTAGGTTTTGTTATTAGCTATAACTTTTGCTCATAACTCAAATCTTTATCTCTTATGCATCACGAACTAGAGCGGGCAGAACTTGTTACTGTTTTTCAGTGAATGTAAAATACATTCACTGAAAAACAGTAGTGGCTTCTATTCGCTCTGGTTCGTCATGCATAAGAGATACGAATTTGACTTGTTAACAAAATTTGTAGTTAATAACAAAACCTACAAAAGCTTTATACATCATTTTGCGGAATGCTGTTCAAGAAAAAAGTTAGAGGCAAATGAATGTAAATGATTGCACGAAATGAATGCAAATGATTTTCCATGCCTGGTACCACATTCTAATCGAAATTCTAGTACTACACTATGTTTGTTTTGATTCGCTATAAAAGTTCGGACGTTCTGGTCTTAGAGTTACCTCTATGATACTACCATAGAGGTAACTCTAAGACTAGTAGGTTCCGAAGAAATGTGCTCAACTTTTTGGCTCAGCTCTGGTACTATCTTCGGTCCCAAGCTATTCGATTAACCCCACATTCATTCATAGCGAATCAAAACAAACATTGTGTAGTAATAGAATTTCGACTAGAATGGGGGATGTTAATCGATTTGCTTGGGACCAATAGGCTAGTCAAGTAGTGAGCCAATTTAAAATCGATAGTTTCGTATTGATTGTTGATACTACGGAGAAGGAGCAGCATAGCAAGCGATGTGTCGAGGTGAAGTTGGGCAAGGTTCATCTAGAGGTGGAGCCACATTTACCAAAATTTAGTTTACCAAATGGTCAAAGCAGTGGAACATTTCCGTTCCCATTGTCGCGCTACATAACATCGAAAGTGCAGTACTCCGTCAACTTGACGGATGCTGTTATGGTTATTAACTGCTCGAAACGTTCTCCAACTGCATCTGGATCATAGTATACAGTGCGGAAGTAGTGATTGCTAGGAGTCGGGAATTCCAACAAACTCCAGAAAGGCGTGAAATACCATGGAAAAGAAGGTTGAAACGAGGGTGGGCAAAACGGCTCATATTACTGAGCGGATCTGACCAGTTCAGCTGAGTAAGGTGAGCCGTTTCTGTAGACCAGTTCTTCAGCTCAATTTAAAATTAATGGCATATTGGCAAACTTAAAATCAGAATACTCGCCAAATAAACCTGGTAATTGAGCAGGTAATATGCATGTAGAACCTGAAATTAATACATTAGAAGCAAAAAGTGTCTACTACAAAGTTGTTCCTTACAGTTAAGCCCTCACTTTGGTGTCAATTAATACTAGGGTGTGGTTCTTATTGTCATTGAAATCAATAATTTAACTTTTTATTATTTGGCGTTCTTGGGCCTATCATCTTTAAAAGACTTTTGAAATTTCACGAGACGCATGTTTTGTTAAAAAATGAAAACATTGTCTGTATCTATTTTTTATAAATAAATTAAACAATTAATTAATTAATTTATCTTTATTAGGGAGGCTTTCAGCCTGGGGCTGGTTCGCCTCCAAATAAAATATGCTGAAAAATTAACAAAGTCAATTTGATTTTATAGAAGTTAAGAATATACAATATCTCAAATTTTTTGATATTATGTCGACCAAAAAATGTACGCC